TCAACCCTCATAAACATATTGAACTACTAAAAGGATTATGGCTGCCGGGTTTGCTGTGCCATTCCTATAAATTAACCTAGGAATTTAATCAAAGATATGACCAGAAACAAGAATAACAGGAGAATGTGCTGACATGATAAATATTTAAGTCAGAGAAAAAAAAATTGTACCGAGAGTTAATTTTCAAGAAGATTTACTGTAAGCAAATATTTCACAAAAATACACGTGCAAAGTTATACCCTGTGTCAGGCCATTTTTAGCAATCATTTTCACATTTTCAAATTTCCAAAGTCATCACTGAGGGGAAAACTGGTAGGATATTTGAAATCAACAGTAAAAGTTTCACGGACTTGTGTATTTCAAACCTTACTATTGATGTTTACATCTATAGGAAAAAAAAGAATTGATCAATTTCCATCAGTTGAAATCTCCTGCACAAACCCAAAATTTATCTACAGTTATAGAGGCAACACCTTCCACGGGCGACTGTGTTTTCACAGGAATTGAGGACACACAGTTGTCCCTTTTAGATAATGAGATTTTTCCCATATTGAGTCAGGACATTCCTGATTTTAAGTGGTTCCAGGACTTGATATGACTCAGGTCCGTACAGAAAATCGGCTCAAACTCTGTTTGCTGGGAGAAAAACACAAAGTGATTAATCTGTGTTGTGTGCATAAATAGCTGCATAGGTGGGGCACATTTCTACTTCACAGAGTGCTGAGGACCACAAGCTGGCTCATAAGGACCATTGAATAGCCACTAGGAGATGCAGAAGATCAGAAAAGAAAAATAAGCCAAGGCCACTTAGAAGATTGATTGGTTTGTTGATTTATGAAAATAGCTGCATCTCATCAAATTTACAGATGCTTCATGGTGTCTAGGGAGAGGGGAAACATTTTCTTTTGTAAGGAGGACACAGGTATTAGTGGAGACATATTAGTCCAAACTATCTGACAGAAGGAATGGCCATATGGAAATGTCCTTATTTGTCAATTGCTAAGGAAGATACACTGCAGCAATTGCATGTCATGTTCACTCAATAAAAAGACTTCAACTGTGATCATGACTTCTAACACAACTCAAAGACAGCTGTGAAAAGATTTCTGTAGACCCTAGTGAACTTCAGCAAAGACTGATGTTTCTGCTTTATGACCTCTGGATACCACAAGGAAATTTTTCTTTCTGCCAAGTGACTTTCACTCTGTGGTTGAGGGAAGAAAGATTTTTCTCTTATATTTCTTTTTTTTGGTTCATGGTTGTTAAAGAGGGTCTCCTCGCACTCTGGACATCAGGGCTGTGATCAAAGCTGAAAAGATATTGTAAGTATGTTTTCTGATCTCTAAAATGTCAGGACTACATCTCCACAAACTATTTGTATAACCCAGGAAAGGTGTATTTAGGCATACTTTTCTCTCCCTTCTGGAGCTCTGTTGTCTTCCACCTTAGGTGATACATCACTAGATTTTACCAAAGAGAAGAATAGGGGTTGAATAGTATAAAAAAGGACCTAACTGTACCCTTCAATTCCCCACTAGGTGCCATAACTCTCTGCCTCAAATCCAATTCATGCTATCATCCTCCATTACTTACCTTTTGCCCTTTAAGACATGAGTTATGGCAACGAAAATTAATTGTTATAGGCATCTCTTAATTTTTGGAACACTTTGCTTTCAGTTTATCCCCTTACAGCTTATATGAATTTGTTGTTTGAGGGCACAGATTCATTGGTTTTAGTTGTAGACAGAAGATGTCAGCACTTCTAGAAACAGAATCACCAAATGCCATGTTGAATGATCAGAAAATGTTAAAACCACCATGAGCACTCACAGAAATCTTTGTCAGGAAAGTTGCTGAACAGCACCTAAGAACTCATTGGCACAGGCATAACTTGGACACGGGCATCCAGAACATTATTTACCTCTTCAAAACTAGGCAAGCACACAGAGTCTTTCTGATGCTTGTGCTCTTTCACAGAAGGTTACCGGGAAAGATATGTAACTCACAGTGCTGTTGTCCACCAAATTAGAAGCTCTTCTCTAAGAAGACTTCATCATGGCAATCCCATTTATATCCCATGATAAAGTGGTTTTCCTGTTAGCAACTGGTATAATGAAGAGATTTTTTTTTTCACATATTGTTTCTTCTTCATTGCCTTTGCTATCCCACCTCCCCTTCTAATGTTCTTGTCTCCATATTACGTGTATATTTTTGTGAGCAAAAGGCAGGATGCTCTTTGGACATTAAAACTCTAAAAAGCATTCACAAGACCTAGTGAGCTGAATCTTAATCTAGGTACAAAATTTCTTTGTGAAAGGTTTTGTGAAGGAGTTTATATGAATTAAATACTAATTTCTCTGTTTGTGTCCATTAGAACTTATTTGAAACTTAATGAAGATTAGAGAGTTAACAGATGCTTCACTGGTATTTATTGTACTTGTTCTTTTCAATCCATAATGCATAAATTGTGGAAAATAAATGGAAATTAATCAAAGTTATAAATATGGGTCTGCAAAAGAAGTTGTTTTGCTTGATAAAATGGGTCCTGTGCCTGCCAGACATTGATCATGAACTCCCTGCTTTGTGTGGCATTCTTGTCAGAAGATAACTATAATCAGGGAACTGCATGAAGTTTATCAGGTGGTTGCACGAACTGGCTAAATGACTAGTTATAGATGTTACTGGCTCTGCTCCTGAGCCATTTCCTCTGGAAAGCTCCTTCCTGCAAAGTATGATTATTTCTTATTTATACAGTGTTATACACACCATTAATCTTCCTTTTCATCCTAGTTATTGCTGTCACCTCTTTTCATAGCCAGAAGGGACTTAGAACTGCCAAACAAGAAAACTCCTGTCCCGTAATCTGCTGACAATACAACATATCTGCTTCCAGCAGGGAAGCTTCAGAGGCTGTGATCCCTTATGGACATCAACTGAGGAAGAACATTAAGAGTAAAAAATTCCCTCCTAACTCATCAGATAGGAAGGTGTAGAAGAAACAAAAAATCAGACAGATATAAGTAGCCACTGTCTGTAGTGGAAGTAGTTCCTTGCATATTGAGTTGCTGGGTACATTTTTAACCTTGTCTCGTGGATTCAGAGATTTATTTGAAGTTTCCAAGGGATGTCAAGAATTGGTCAAAAAGTTGTGAGAGGCTGGGGTGGGTGGCAGAAGGTGGAAACTTTCACCCAACCTCTAACTATACTTTTAATTTCTCCAAATACTCCCAACAGAGAGAGAAGATTCATTAATATGGCGTGACTGAAAAGCAATAATCTGGGAGGCAAAAATAGTAGTATCATGCTGTATGGTGTAAATGTTGGCTAAAAGTAGGTAGTGTAGAGACCAATGTAAAGTACTCTAAGACTGGTCAGGAAATACAGCTGTTGAAGGAAGCAGAAAATGAGATGCATCTTGTTTGATACAATTCAGAAAAGTGTACAGGGGTCAAAAGTCACAGCCAGTCCCATCAAAGAGAAGCTGTCAACGTGATCTGGAGCAGAAAGTAGTATTTCAGTGTATTTAAACTGAAAGGGATTTTCTCTACTCTCGGCATAAATTATTTCACTGTCCAATGTCCTGCATATGTGTGTGTTGATCCAGCTTCTGAAATGTGTATTGTCTTCCAGGGGTTTATGTGCATCTGTGGTTACTGAGAGTAGCTGCTGCTGACTAATTTAGGCAGTTTGATTAGATGCAATGCACTCCAAGAGGTACCCAAGGTTTCAGTAGAGAAGACATAGGCACAAAATCAACATCTTAGTAGCTGTTACATTGATCCATGTTTTCTTGAAGAAACAATGCAATTTAACCTTGCTGGCTGTTTGCTTATCACAAAAAACTGCAATATGACAGCAACAATATTCCTGTGATTAATTTCTGTAATTATATTTTAAGTGTTTTTCTTCTCTTCCTTTATTTTTTTTTGCTTTTCTATGTGTGCACCATCTCCCTCCCATTGGAGAGCACAGCTGATGACAGCTCAGTGATACCTTACCAATGTACTAGGAAGCATCGCAGTTGTCAAGGCAAAATGTATTTTTCCATGTGCTTGGTCTAAAACTACTCTGTACTGTATAAATTTCCTATGCTTAATACACCTGCCTCTTGTCAAAAGCTAGCAAAAGGTAGAAATATGCTTGCTCTCTACAAAAGGGAATGTTTTGCTTGAATGAATGCTAATCAAATGATTAAATTCAGGCCAAGTTTCTCTTCAATGCTTCAGTAGAGTGTTATGATCCAGTTACAGGGGATTACTAATCAACAGGTTTTGGATGAAAATCAAGCAACTGAAGACCTCTTTTGACTAATGATCATTAGGCATTATATTGCTAATTATGACCAATGGGATTGTATACTTAGAAATCCCTTCCATACTAAAGCATGCCACATATATTGTTTTGGCAATTTAATGCAGACAGGCAAACTAAAACCTGGAAAACTTCCATGTGTTCCTGAAAAACAAGTTTTGCTTTTAATCTAGACAAGAGCTTAGTTAGGCAGTGATACACATACTGACACATCAAAGGATTTAGGATGGTCTTGTCGCTCCGTACAGAGAAATGCCCTACAAAGATGGTGAGACTAACTCTGGCCTGGGAACAATGCCACTGGGCTATCACAGTGTTTTATTTGGCCAAATAATCTTATAAACCCAGGTGCATTAGCCTATGCAAAACACTGTTACCCTTGTCCTTGAGCCTGAGCTTGACTGTTTCTGAATGACATTGCAGCATCACATCCATAAACATAGCTGAAGGGCTTAAAAGACCCTGTAGGGCCAACAGACACTCTTTTTGAAAGCCACTTATTGAAATTACGTTCATCATCTTAACTTTAAAAAAATTTAAAGGTCTAAAAATACTTGATTAAAAAGGCAAATGGACCGTGTATGCTTTATAAACACCATGTCAGCCAATCCAAGTAGTAAAATTCCCAAACAAGTCATATGGGACAAAGCCTGTAATATTTTACTGAATCTCAGTCCCTCCTTTCACAGGACTGTCTGTGGACCCCTCCCAGCACTAACAGCAGTCAGCATGGACTTGGTGTGACCTTGGTGACAGAAGACTAGAAAATGAGAAAAATCTCAGTTTCTTTCCTGGAAATGGAGAGAGTGATTGAGAAATTATTCGTGTTTCTTCCTATACATGTATTATGAGGCATCAACTGCCACTCAGGTATTCGTGTTCAGAATAAACTAATAGAGCTCCTTCTTCAGCTTTCAGGTAAGGTGTGGCACTCCTTGCCACTGGGCTATTAAATACAAACCACAACTTTTGTCTCAGAAAGTTCATAATTTACAAAGTCTTGGGTCTTCTGAGAATATTCTAGAGAAATATTGATAAATGCTTGCTCTGTTCCTCGCTAAATGTTTTGGCCACTATAAGATACTGAAAATGGATGAGGTGGTTCTTTCATCTGGACCTTTCATCTAAAGCAGGATACAAGGTCTAGCTCTCATATGTCCATTAGCTCCTGTGATATTCAGTTTGCCATTTGGCACTGCTCAGATAAAATCTTAGGTTGCCCAAAACAGTCAGTTTTTAAAATGATCTCCTGTCATTATTGTTTTCTGATATAGGTGATGTAAACTATGCTGCTGGTGTTATGAAAAAGTTTTTTATTCATGTTCTTATCTCTAGGATAAAATAGTAGTTTAGAGTGTTAGACTAGGAGATTGTAAAGCTAGGTATTACTTTCAGATATGTTACTGGTTTCTCACACAGCTCCAAGAAATATACTTCTCTGTGCTTTTTCATCTGTAAAATGCTGTTGATGGCAGAGCTCTGTGAAAATATTTGACCATATTAAAATGGAAAGCACTGTTTGATAGCTTAGAGCTTGTTATTATCACTGTGCAGAATTCAGGCCCAGCAAAATCAAAGCATCATGTCAAAGCATCATGCCTGCTGTTCTCACTTATATAACTTCATAAACTCTGGAGCATTTTCTTCTGATGGAATCAAGTTAGGAAAGATGAACCTTCTGTATCTCTTTGGCATTCTGGATCAAAACACCAACTGGTACAGCTGGAAATCACAGCAAGGCTTGTTGATTTTGTTCCTGTTGTATATTATGATAATTCAATTATTGTCACCCAGGGTCTGTAAGCTATTAAGTCAACCACAAAATCACAGAATTGTTGGGGTTGGAAGGCACCTCTGGAGATCATCTAGTCCAACCCCTCTGCCAAGGCAGGATCACCTGGAGCAGGTTACACAGGAATGCATCCAGGTAGGTTTTGAATGTCTCCAGAGAAGGAAACTCCATGACCTACCTTGGCAACCTGTTCCAGTGCTCTGCCACCAGCAATGCAAAGAAATTCTTCTTCATGTTGAGGTGGAACTTCTTATGTTTTAGTTTATGTCCATTGCTCCTTGTCCTGTCACTGGACAGCACTGAAAAGAGTCTGGCACCATCCTCTTGGCACCCACCTTTGAGATATTTATATGCATTAATGAGATCCCCTCTGTGTTCTCTTCTTTAGACTAAACAGGCCCAGCTTCTGCAATCTCTCCTCATAAGAGAGATGCTTCAGACTGCTCATCATCTTTGTGGCCATCTCCAGTAACTCCTTGCCTTTCTTGTACTGAGGAGCCAAGAACCGAATACAGTAATCCATATGTGGCCTCACTAGAGCTGAGTAGAGGTGCAAGATCACCTTCTTCAACCCCTTGGCCACACTCTTCTTGATGCACCTCAGGATACCATTGGCCTTCCTGGTTGCAAGGGCACGCTGCCAGATCATAGTCAACTTGTCATCCACCAAGACAGGTCCTTTTCAGCAGAATTGCTCTCTAGTAGGTCAGCCCTAAACCTAAACTGGTACATGGGGTTATTCTTCCCCAGGTGCATGACCCTGCACCTGCCCTTGTTGAACCTCCTCAGGTTTCTCTCTGACCAGCTCTCCAGCCTATTAAGGTCCTACTGCATGGCAGCACAGCCTTCAGGTGTATAAGCCACTCCCCCCCCCCTTGGTTTATATCATCAGTGAACTTGCTGAGGATACACTCTATCCCTTCGTCCAGGTCACTGATAAACAAGTTGGATAAGACTGGACCCAGTATTGATCCCTGGGGAACACCACTGACAACAGGCCTCCAACTGGATTCTACTCCATTAATCACAACCCTCTGAGCTCTGCTATTCATCCAGTTCTTGATCCACCTCATTGTCCATTCATCTAACCTGCATTTCCTGAGCTTGTCTATGAGGACCTTATGGGAGACAGTCTCAAATGCTTTGCCAAAGTCGAGGCAGACAACATCCACTGTGTGTAACGAGCCTTTTTGTACCTCCAACAAATATTAGGGTGGTTGAAGTTCCCCAGGAGAAAAAGGGCTTGTGACCACAAGGCTATTTCCAGCTGCCTATAGAAAGCCTCATCAACTTCCTCCTCATGATCAGGTGGCCTTTAATAAACACCCACAAGAGTTTCACCCATACTAGCCAATTTCTCAACTTTTTTGTCTGTCTCACATAAAGAGCAACTCCACCACCTTACCTCCCTTACCTGTCCTTTCTAAAAAGTACGCAGTCATCCATAACAATGTTCCAGTCATGTGAGCTTTCACACTTCTAATTCTTCTTGTTTATTCCCCATGCTGTGTGGCATTTGTGCACAGGCACTTCAGAGTGGTAATTAAGCACCCAGGTTTCCTAGAAGGGGCATAAGAGGATTCACCATAACCATAAACAGCCTTGATGTTGGTAGCCCTATGATTCTCAAGTTGAGAGGCAGCTAAAGAATGTCTGTAGGTGCACTTGTTGGTCTGGCTTACTTCCCAGGGGAAAACAAGGGCAACAGCATTGCCACTTTGGACCCCACCCCTTGAGGTCAAATCAAAACAACCAGCCAAAAAGGGAAAGCTGATCTTCACCTCTGTATCTGCCTGGCAGCCTGACTTCCTCTGCCCATACAGGCAACACTGCAGCTGCAAGTCCCCAAGGCTTTCCTTCCTCTCACTCACTGCAAGGAGTTGTCTCTTGTATTTTCTGTAACTTCCAGGCATCTCTGCTCTGTTCTTTCCATAGAAATAGTTTCTATTTGTAGTGTCACTACGCTATTGGGCCAATGAGGCTATTTAATGAACAGATAATCTTGTTCCTTCATAAGGAAAAATTGCTCAGCATTACAGTTTATCCACAAAGCAAACAGATTGTCAAATAAAATAGCATATTATGCCCTAAATAATTAAATAACCACAGAGATATTTGTCATTCTGCTATTCAGCAGACTGGTGTCAGCTGAGAAAGCAGATATCTTATTGCAAATGATGTTGGCTTCTCTTTCAAAGTGCAGTTGTAGAAGGAAAGCAATTGTCAAAATGACAAAGTGGGGTTCCATATTTTTTCTCTCTATGACTTCCTGAGCAAATTTGTTTCATTTATACAGTTACACAGTGATTTTTCTAACTACCAGCACTGCTACCTCAGACTTAGAAAATTGCACCAGGATTCCTCTGTTTCTCTCGTGCCACTACCAGAGAAGGTAGCTCAATCAACATTTAGCTGACAGGTTTGTTGATGAACAAAGCAGAATAGGATTTTGCTCTCTTCTCATAACAATAGTGGCTCGTATAGCTGAGCATATTGCTTTTTTTTTTTTTTGTCATCTCTGTGCCAGCAGCAGTGGAAGATAGGAGTGGTAGAAGGAATATGGTGCTTCTTCCATAATAATGCACAGTATTGCTTCAATGAATAAAAAGCAAGTTTTCAGCTGAAATGGCAGAGATATTTATTTGGCTCATTGCACAGTAAATAGATAAACTGGACAACTGTGCATGTTTGGAATTTAATGCAAGAAGATGCTGTTCCAAATACACTGTTGAGTATTTAAATATTAATAATGCTTAAAAAGTATCTGTGTTACTCATGTAGATTTCAAAAGATCCCAAAGCTATATTTGTGTGTGTTTATATTCTTCTCTGTTCCTGGCAGATTTTCCTTCTCAACCTTTCATATCTTTCATTTACAGTAACAGGTTTCAATTCAATCCCTGTTTAGATTTGTTGCCTCGAAAGTCAACATAACCAGAAACACCTGCTGTGTCCCATTAGAAAGAGGGACTGTGAGGCTGTGATATACCCAGCATGTGTTTTTTCATTTGTATCAAGTTGTGAGCTATATGACCCTAAAACTGCACACCACACCCTCCAATAGTAGACACTCTAGCAAAAGTAATATTTAGAGGTGTACAAAATCCGTAAGTACCAACTTTCTATCACTCCCAGAACTGTGGACATAACTGAATCAACTTATGGCTTCACAGGCATAAGAGATACAAAAAATTGTAGTAATAAAGATTTTATTACTCTAAAGTATTTCTAAAATAACCTTCTCCCCTCTCTCTTAAAAGGGAAGTAAATGGAATACATGATAGTGTGGCAAGAGTGTTTTATAGCCATGCTTGAGTAAGGCAGCCATTTGAAAGTCATGCCAATAAAAGGTCAGCTCCTGCTGCCATTATTCATTTGTACAGGCTTAACAACTTCGATAAAATGATATACTTGAGCAATTTGAGCAGGATTCAGTACAAAATATTAATTTCAGGACTGTTTATTGGAAATTAGAATTTTTTATCTATGATATAAATAATATTTTGGGCTATAAAAAATGAATGGACATTTTAACATCTTATTCTCATTGCTAAAATAATGGCCACCTTTCAGGTTACTTGTTTACTTTTGCCCTTCTGTCTGCTGTGTCTGAAACTGGACCACTCTGCTTTACTTTGGATATTCAATCAATATCACTTTCCTGTTTTCAGTTCAATTATGGGTGCTTCAAAGTCAGAGTAGTTACTTTCATCAGCTTCTTTTCATGGCTTTGTTTGCTCTTCATCTTGAAATTGAAACATTTTCCAATAAACTTCAGCCACAGGACATCTGTTTCAAACAAACCTTTCCCTCAGGGCCTTATCTGTCCTTCGTAAAAAGCACATTGTTGGTCTCTGGTTCATTTCTCTGCTGCAATCACCAGCACTGTAAGTATTAGAGGAGAGCACACTGTACATCTCCAACTCTGAGGCTCCTGGAAGTGATTTGGTCCCCACAGTGGCTAAACCATCCCTGGAAACCCAGAAACACCAACATGAGACAATCTCAGCCACATGTGTTCTCATCATCAGCTTGTCTTGGAGCATTTTCTACTTAGTGCCTAATCCTGGGGACTCAGAGACCACAGAGCTGACACAGGTTTTTCCAAAGAACATCTCTGCTGTGCA